CCCCCCCACACACACACAATAAGCACATACATGCAAAAACTCTTTCTCTCTCCCTCTTTCTAACTCACTCGCACATAGACAGACAGATAGATAGACAGACACACACACAGAGGGAGAGGGAGAGAGAGAGTATAACAGTTAAACAGACAGAAACACACGCGTTAAACTCCCCGTCATCGCTCCCAAAAAAGAACCCCATTGCAACTGCCTCTTTCTTTAAAAAAAAAAAATCCCCAAAAGAACAGCAGAAGCCAGCGTACGTAGCCCCGCCCTTGACTAGACCTATGAAGAAAACAAGAAAAGAAAGAAGAAATAAATGTCGTTTAGGAGGCGGAAGAGTCGACAATGCAATCGCCCCTACCTATTGCCTACAAAACACTTTAGCCTACCATTGTTCACCCTTGACTGACCTATACGCTGTGGAGATCGAGTGCAAACCCAAGTTCTCTCTTATTCTCTTGCCTAAGGCCACATCAACAAGGCAGGCGTCATCTTTGTAAGACGTTACACCAACTATTTTGACCCACCTTTTTTAAACGTAATTAACATATTATTATTTTACGGCTTGAAGTACCTACAACAGCTGTGCGTTTTAAGAAAATCAAGCAGAAACTCGCTTTGTGCCGCAAGGAATTGCATCACTTAGACAAGAAAAGTTCTTCCATTCTTAACTAACGTTTGGGGCTACATTGTCCTCAAGCCTCGATGTCATCGTGGAGATGTTCACCCCCCCCCCCTTCCCCCGTTTTACACACACACAAAACCCAGCCTGCTCATAGGAGATCAGAAATCATTGTAGAAAAGTTTCGTGAAATTTATTGTAATGGAGCCCAAATCATTCATATAATTTTTGATCAATTAATCTATTTACTTTCAATGTCTCAAAATGTCATGTCTTGCACGTTGGTAGGAAAAAACAAAGATATGAAGAGATAGGATTAGATCTACCTTTTTCGTCGATGAATTGTTATGTTCGATTTTACTAGGCTTTCGATTTGAACGTAAAGAAAAAAAAGAACTCCGGTTATCGCTAAAGAATATTCTACTTCTGGTAGTTTCTCGGAGTTGCGCATGTAAAGTAGGGGCCTGGTTGACTTCATGAATATTGATTTCTGAGGCTGGAATCAAAGCACTTTTCTGTTATAAGTTGTTGTTTGTTGTTCATCAGTTGTTATTTATTGTCACCAGTTGTTATTATTGTTGTTATCTCGAAAAAGATAAATACACCATTAAATCTATGGTTAAAGCTGGGCCTGTAAGTGTTGCAATTATGCATTGGACGGACAGAGTCCATTGGCTTCCCATTGCAGGACTGCCATTACGCTAGTTTGCTTTTATTTTGGAGCGCAAATGCCCTGGATTCGATGAGCTCAGTCATTGTGTTTTTTCCGTGAGACATAAATTTATTCTGGGAAACGCAAATATCAACACCCAACTTGTAGGTAAATTTTTAGGTAATTCAAGGTAAAGTAAACAATGAGATCTGCATCAAAGCATTTCGTTTGAATGAAGCTAGGAATTCTGATTTAAAAAAAAAATTGCAAAGTGCATATACAATGTACATACAAAGATCATGTTCTAAGGACACTTTTAACTTTCCAAAAGTTCAGTCAAATAAATCAATCCTCTTGTTTATAATTGTTGCATGAAACAGACTGTCGAAGAAAAACCACTCCATAAATAAAAGTTTTCAGATGGGAACAAAATAAAATTCATACTGCCACCCAGTGTCATGTGTGTGTATACTAAAGAGGGAATTTTTCTCTTGTGATGATGACGGTGGTAACGTAATCTTCTTATGGTGCACCAGGGCAGTAATCCTATTTTGTTGTCTTTTTGTTGTTTTTCTTTCCAATACCATAGCTCTAAAGTGAAATTATTCAAAGTTAAAAGTACAGAACACATTCCCAAATTGACAATTGTAAGACGAATTCTCAACACAAAAGCTGTAAAAAAGAAGCAAAATCCAACGTGTTACTTTCTTCTCAAAATGACAAAATCTACTGATGTGAGTCCACGTGCTTTGGATGAATATGTCAACAACAGAGCTTGTTTCATTCCACTTTTTTCTCATGTTTTAAGTTACACAGAAAACGAATTCAACAGGTCAATGTTATATTCAGAGCACATAGACCACAACATCTACAGTTCTATGTTAACAAATATTGAACACATAGTTTACATAAAGGTTATCCTTTGTTATGGTGATATTTATTTATTTTCAGATTGCAGATGAAAAGATGGCCTTTCCAACTTCAAATTTCTAACTTCGCTTTCAAATAAGCAAAGTATTAAAATGGATGGTTCCTCTTAATACATAAATAAATGTTGAAAGAGACTCTCAAAAGATTCCAAACTTTTATGAGATTCTTCTTGAGAAAATGAAATATCATACCCTTCAAAATAAAAATATATCTTTGAAAAGGTTCCAATTTCACAAGCTGCAGATATCAAGAAGTTAGGGTTCAGAACCAGTCATCATAAAGAATAATGAGCAATACAACAATAGAAATAAAAGCAAATTCAGTAGATCTACTTCTTTACAGATGTATAACAACTCTGCACTTTTTCAAGAAGAACGCTGCAAAATACAAGTAAGTCTACAGTTTACTTTAATTGTCCACACAAGCGTTGTTTACTTACTATTCCAGACTTGAAGGAATTCTTGAAAGCTCACGCCATCACCATTTATTGGGTCGGCATTGTTGAACATGATCTCCAAACTTTTATAAGAAAAGTCTATGTCAATTTTCTGTATCAGCTGCTTGACCTCTACAGTGTCAAGCTCATCACTGCCATCTTTGTCAAGTATCAAGAATATCGTCTTCACCCATGTGAGACTAACCAACCCCCCCCCCCCCCCCCCACACACACACACAGATCCCCAAAAGGTGAAATCTATTATCACAAGCAGTGGCGGCTCGTGGTTTATAGAACTGACCGGCGGTCATTCACGTCGACTATTTTTCCCACCCCCACCCCCTGCTTGCGCGCACACACACATGCGCGCACACACACACACACACACACACACACACACCCACACACACACACACACACACACACACACACACACACACAAACGCACACACACATGCTCTCTCTCTCTCTCTCTTTCTCACACACACACACACACACACACACACACACAAACAGAAGGCACTCTCGTCATCTAGAGGTAGTGTTTGCTTTTCATTCAACATGACGGCAAACTTTCTCCATTCACCCCTTTTCCTCTTTTCTCTAGCCCTGTTCTTCAATCTGCTTCTTACTCCTGTCTTTCAGTCACACCGCTGGTACGGTAGGTAAGACCGTAAGACCTAACACCTAGCCTTCTCGAGTAAAAGTAAAGTTGTTCCCGCATCCGATCCGGACATTTGGGGG